GCTCCAAAAGCTAATGCTAATGTCCCTCCATCTATCTGACAGTTTGGGGCTCCAAAAGCTAATGCTAATGTCCCTCCATCTATCTGACAGTTTGGGGCTCCAAAAGCTAATGCTAATGTCCCTTCTACACTCTTCCTCTGACAGTCTGTGAGCTCTGTTTTATTTCAGGGTTGAGTGGTCCTGCAGTGCTCTGTTCGGCCACCAGGGGGCAGCAGAACCCGGCCTCCGCGGCCGCCTCTCGGCTTTACGCGAACAGATTGACCTGGTTTGTGATGGAAAATCTGACCAGTCACGTGTCCTCCCAATGCTCAGGCGGCCAAACGCGCCGCTTAGTGCTGCAGATCACTGGAAACCCTCCGTGAAGGCCGTTTAGCGCCACAAACACTCCATAATTTTGTTTCTTTTCTCTATCCCTTTGATTAACTATGCATTGGCATGGGGGTTCTGTTATATTTATTGTTTGTGCTCCAAACCATGTATATGGTCATGAGCAATTAAATAAAATAATTGAATTGAATTGAATCGAATGGAAACCCTCCAGTTTGCAGGGACTCTGGTCAGACGGCAACTGGCATAAAACTGCATGGGTCTGTTCCATATCTGGTCATCGTGGTTCGATCATTATCTTTCCATCCCTGGGTACCTATCTGGGTCGGGGGGGGGTACTGGAGGCCAGCCCACCAGCCTGACCCCTGAACCTGATTATAGTCAGTGGGGACAGGAGGGAGCACCAGGAGGTCAGCAGGAGTCATAACGGGAGGGAGATGATCTGCAATCTGTCCTCTGAAAGGAACCAGGAGCTGAGGGAGGCTATTTAGTCATCACAGAGGAGGCAACTGAGTCCATTACGTTTTAGTAGATTTTTGACTGACTATGAACTCACTGTAGCTAACGTAGTTACATAAGCATTTTTTTTGTGTGAATTTATTTTATTTTGTGAATATGAATATGTTTTACTTTTAATATCTTTTTCATATCTTTGTGTATTTTTCGATTAATAAGTACATACTTTGGGAAAATATTGTAACAATGTTATATGGAGACGTCACCGATTGGGTCTTCACTTGATCACGTGATGCCTTTGATAGGAAGTTCTGAGTTTGTTTATAATTAGTCTGCGTGTGCAAGAGTAAAGGCAAAGGACTAAAAAATGGAAGAAATGGACTTCTAGCAACTCCTAACCTTCTGGTTTGAGGGGCATACGGTATAGACAATTTAGATAATTTATATTTTGTTTAATAAGTTTCATTTGATAATTCATGTAAGGTAACATGACGGTTTTATTGATGAATATTTTCCACCGCGTATTTTGCAGTGTTCACGGTGGTCTTGGGCGTTTGCATGATGGAAAATCCTTTAATAAACATTTGGAACCATCAGTTGGATATTTGCACTTTCATCAACCAGTTAGAAAAAGTTGGGAGCAGCTATACTCACTAAGGTGCAAAGGAACAAAGATGGCGTTGTGTCTGAAGCTCAGAGTTAGGCTCAGACTGTTCTGTTCGTAGAGCCTAAACATTTGAGGAAACACATTCCTAAAGTAGAGTCTAGGGAGGAGGCTCAAGCTATGGAGGAAACATGGAAAAGGAGATGTTCATGATATGGACAAAACATATTCTAGCTGTACGTCTGGAGGGAGACGGTAAGGAACAGGTTTTCGATATGGATAAAACCATGTTTGTGCTGGATGAAAACAGCCTGACGTAAGACAAAAAGTACAGATATGGGATACCAAATATAATTCCTGCTTTTACCTGTTCTGTGTTCTTGTTCTGACCTCACTTTTGCCCCTTATCGGATTTGTTTGCCTGTATGATTTATCTCCTGGTTTTGACCCTGCCTGTTTTTGGACCAAGTAGGAGAACCCAAGTGCTTTTGGGTTCTCTTTAGCCAGGACCAGTGGTAAAAATACATTTGAATTCTAACTAAAAAACCTAAGTAAGATAAAGAGGAAAATCCTCCACTGGCCTAAAGGCTTAAAGAGAACGTTTAAAGCTCTGATTGGTGCCACTTGAACGAGTGAAATTGGGAACAAAGCCCACTCACCTTTGCCTGGTGGAGGTCCACCCCGTACATGGAAAGCTTCTTGGCGTTCTCCAGGAACATGAGGTCTGCCTGGGCTGGACTCATGGCCCTGAAGGGGGGGGGGCAGTAGGGTTGTCACGATACTAAAATTTTCAAGTCGACACGATACACAGGAAAATACTCGATACTCGATACCATTTTCGATACCACAAGGATAAAAACAAAGACCCCAAAGTTTAACTGAATTTTGACAGGTTAGTGTCTTTGGTTTCAAACTGACCTGTTACTGATGTTATTGTGACTGGTGGCCTGCATTAAAAACCCTAACCCTAACCCTAACCCTAACCCTGACCCTAACCCTAACCCTAACCCTCCACCCTTCATAATTGTGAGAAATAAATATTTTTTGGTTAAACTTGTTTGGACTTATTCTACAAACCTATTTAACATCCACTATTTCAACATAATATTATGGATAGAGTTTAAATAAGTTTTCGAAAGATTAATTTCACTATTTTTAAATTAATGTCTATATTGCCATGAAGCAATTAGGATTTTCTTGCCTGGGATCTTCCTATTGGTGACCTAATCAAAATGGCCGACTTGGATGTGGGCGGAGTTAGATATGTACTTGATTAATGGTAGCACGTTATTATTATCCATTAGCCGCAGCTAGCAGTTGAAGGCTAACGTCTTGTTAATGACCATAAACAACGTTAAAAAAAACATAAATAAATCTGAAGCTCCCATCTTTTATTAAGAGTTTTTATTAAGAGCTGGTTCTCGTTTAGTGGAGCTCCACATCCGACCCCTCAGTGCAGATTTAAAGGTGAGGATCAAACCAGAACCCCCCCCCCCAGATCTGATTAAGACTCTAAACATGAGGGCTGTGGTCAAATATCAGATTATTTACTGTCCATATTTTCCCTAATGTCAGGGTTTTTATGACGTTAAAATCAGCCTGGGAAAAAAAAGTATAATTCTTATATAGTCAAATCAAACACTGTGATATGATCTTCATTGCTTAGTGCTTTAATCATTATATTATTATTATTATATGTGACTATCGCACGCGTATCGATACTTTTGAAATTGAGTATCGTATCCGGATACAACATTTGAGTATCGATACTTTTGGAAATGAGTATCGTATCCGGATACAACATTTGAGTATCTATACTTTTGTAAATGAGTATCGTATCAGGATACAACATTCGAGTATCGATACTTTCGTAAATGAGTATCGTATCTGGATACAACATTTGAGTATCCATACTTTCGTAAATGAGTATCGTATCCGGATACAACATTCGAGTATCGATACTTTTGAAAATGAGTATCGTATCCGGAAACAACATTTTAGTATACATACTTTTGAAATTGAGTATCGTATCCGGATACAACATTTGAGTATCGATACTTTTGACAACCTTAGAGGGCATAGGTCACAGACCGGCCTCTGGCCTCCTCCACCCACCTGGGCCCGGGTTCCCTCACCTGTAGGTGCGGTGCAGCTCCATCATCTGGTCCTCCAGCTCCTTGGTCTGGCCCTGGGCCATCTTCATCTCCTTGGCGTAGTCGGGGCCGTGCACGTCGGGGTCGTGCTCGCCCAGCTCCGACTGCAGCGCGTAGGAGCCCAAAACGGCCAGAGTCACGAAGGAGCAGGGCAGCCGGCCCCCCAGGATGTCCTTACGCAGCTGCAGACACAGGTAGTACCTACCGGGACAGCAGGAATAATTTATACTTTAAAGATTGTATTTTTCAGTTTTATCATTCTGCCCTATATCTTTATTTCTACTTTTTATTCTTGCTTCTCATAGAAGTGTTGTGTTGTGCACTAAACACCAAGACAAATTCCTTGTAAGTCTGAAAACCTACTTGGCAATAAACCTGATTCTGATTCTGATTCTGATAACTATATAATAATAATAATATGAATATATAACGTGATTAATATATGATATTTGATTATTGTGTTCATTAAAAATCCTACAAACTTTATTAGTTTTGAAAATTTGGCTCTGAAAATAAAAGGACTGTGTATAAATCTATCTATCTATCTATCTATCTATCTATCTATCTATCTATCTATC